TCATTTTGGAACGACGTCTTTCTAAACATGACAAAGCCTGCAATAAGTTTCTGATTTAAAAGCTCCTAAATTTGTCACGTCCGTCCCGCTACCCGTGCGTCTCATGATAATCAACCTCGCCTGCTGTCCCTGGTGGCCATTGTTATTGGTGGCCATTTGTTACCGCAGTCCTGGAGTCCGAATTATGGACTTAACTCCATAATTCGGAGGCTGTTTTTACTAGCCTGCCCCACCGCTGTCCGCCATCGGCTTTTTTTTGGCCTCGAGTGTCCGAATTTGGAAGCTTCGGTTCGTGCAAGAATCGCAATGCTTTCCGAGGAGGATACTGTATTTTTTAGAAATTAATTTAAATTCCAAATCATACCACGCTGTCGCTTTGTCTTCCTGTTGTTCTGCATGCCTCAGACAAAAACTTATTTTGCATTTAACTCGAACAAAACTATTCGTATGATTTTTCTATTTTGAATTCGAGAGAAGGTCCGTGATTTTTCTTCCAGCCTCGTGTTGGTTAATCGCGACTTTGGATAATCTATCTTGATTTCGGCTTCCTTTATTCGTGATCTCCACTAAATTTGACAAAAACGACCGTGATTTCTAGGAATTGATTGATTTTTCTGAAAAAATATGGGATCATGTTTTATCAGAAGTTTTCTGCTTTTTACATATTTGTAAACGATTGATTTTATTCAGCTGAATTTCTAGGATTTTCTTCTACGACGCACTCACTTCAATCGTAAGTGCAGGAAAACTGAAAAGTTGATGCTTTTTTATGACGAATTTCAAGGAATATATACGAGGTCTTACAAATAATACGAGATCAATAACATTGTAACTACATTTGAGGCATATATACCTGCCAAGTATCAGTACCGAGTTTTCTGGTACAATAAATCCCAGTTTAAGGCCTCTTGGCTCATTGCATGCAACTAGAATTCTCGTCCCAATCCGGATTGATGGCTTTTCAATTTTTCCTTCAGTCATCGGTATTCGTCGCGGTGCTGCTCGGTTCGCCTGTAACGGCGGTGGCTGCGTAGGTCGTTTCCGCTGCCCTGCAAATGTTCGCTGTTTGAACACTTTTTAACGCCAGTGCATCGAATTCTATGCGACCTCCAACGAATTAATAATTTTGAATGGGGTGTGGATTTTACAACGGTCGTTGCGCGAATTAAATATTTTGAAAAATGTTTGATTATCAATCTGACTTTCTAAGAACTGAAGATTTCATTGGAGGGGGCGAAGTTTACTGCCACGTTAAAAATGCAAATATTTTTGGCTTTGTAAAAGTAAGGTTAGGAATTTTCGACACATACATCTTACATTATGATGTAAATATTTGACGTGATGAGCGGATTTCGCTGATCGAGTTATTTTTAGTAGAGGTACAGTGGGGGAAATAAATATTCGTACACTTGAAAAATCGTATTTTAATGTATGTAAGTACTCAAACTGAACAGGAGAAGTGATTTATGTATAGAGGCGCATTGTATTCAAAAATAGCATCAATAGAAATTAAATCTCAATGCAACAAAAAACAATGCAACATGTTCACTTTTCGGGGTGAAAAAAGTATTCGTACAAAACAATAATTCCACATTATTTTAATTTAATACTTGGTTGAATACCCTTTATTCAGCTCAACAGATACCAGTCTATTTCTATACGTCTCGACCAATGTACAAACATTGAGAATCTTAAGGTGGTGTGCCAAGAAGAATGGTATAAAATACCAGTCAGCATCTGCAAATCATTGGTCGAGACGTATAGAAATAGACTGGTATCTGTTGAGCTGAATAAAGGGTATTCAACCAAGTATTAAATTAAAATAATGCGGATTTATTGTTTTGTACGAATACTTTTTTCACCCGAAAGGTGAACTTGTTGCATTGTTTTTTGTTGCATTGAGATTTAATTTCTTTTGATAGTAGTTTTGAATACTATGCGTCTTTATACATAATTTAAATCACTTTTCCTGTTTAGTTTGTGTACTTACATACATTAAAATACGATTTTTCAAGTGTACGAATATTCATTTCCCCCCACTGTATATGACTGTACTGCAAATTCTTCTGAAAATATCGACTCTGAATGGGAATAAAGTTCCAAGATCCAATTTTTGCTGGTGACGTATGGGTGCGTGAGCCCTACAATATTTTATTTTTGTGTCCGCGAATTTTCTGTTGATTATTTTATTTGATTTTGTGTCCGCGAATTTTCTGTTTTGATTGAAACAAGTAGTGCTTGTGTAATGCAGTTCATCAGTAGTTCTAGATGATATTGGAACTCATAAATATGTCTTCGTCTGGTAATGACCACCTGGAATGGAGATTAGTTATATCATTGCACACTTGTTGATGGAAACTGCTGTTATCGTATTTTTTATCGTTGGCATATTCCGTCGCCAGTGGCTTATAGATGTTCATTTGAATGTTGAGAGGTTGAATAACTTTTTCATTGTTGGCGGCTATTTTTGTCATTACCACACGCAAATCGAAAAGATTAGGATGCAGTTCAGGTAGGATCAAAGTGAAGCCAGTTTTCTAATAACTTTGCGTATAAGAAAACATTTAAACATGGTTGCTGTGAACTGATGCTTCCACGTGTAATCTTGAATAAGACTATTATCAATTTATACACAATACTTTGCCCCTGCTGAGCTGCTTTAATTGTCATTAAATGCATAGTACCTTAATTCGCAAAGATATAATAGTGAAACCGTCGTTTTCGGTATCTGTGACCTGACAGTGTCGAGTATGTAGGTTCTTAAGGACATTTCATATTGCGCACGCGCTCATATCAGGGGCGGTGCAGTGATTGCTTTGCTAATTTTCAATGACTTTGTAAACTGTAACGTTGCTTTGTCTTCGCTGTTATGCAGTAAGCCTGCAAACAGCAGTAACGTTGTTCTGATGGTCAAACTTGCTTCTGTTGACGCCCTTATCAATGACACGCAGACTCTTCCTCCGCCGCACTGATGCCTTTATTGCTCATTGCTGCCGCTCCATGACTGCGAGATGGCGCCTTTGTCGTGCCCAATAAATTTTATGCAAGTATCAAACTATGCGAGTTGATGGCCTTCACTGGGCGTGAATTTTGATGACATTCAATGCCTTGTTTTGTGACCTATCTCCGTCACATGACTCGTAAAGTGGCATACATCAAAACAAACTCTCGCTGTACAAAGTTTTTGTGTCCAGATCTGTATTATAGGCCACCCTTTTCGCCCGTTTCAAGATTTATTAACCGGAGCAGCTCCTATCCTTTTTATGGTTCAACTTTTGGAAACATTTTTTTGCTTGATAAGTGATACCACGACTACTGTTTCGAGATTCATAGAATTTCAATCTTTTGACGATTTTTACATTTGTCTGTTAATAATTATGATCAAATGCCTCAAAATAACTTCCTGAGACCATTTCCTTGCGGGTAATAATCATGCCCCCTATCGCCTCAACGGAAATTAATTTCAACTCGATTTGAATGATTTTTGGTGCTTAAATTTTATTGAAATTTTCCCGCAGCTACGCCGGGAATTTGCTGTGCCGTTTTCCGGTGAGTTAATTTTCTAAATTTTTTCTTACAGTCGCTTTCGAGCTAAATTACTTAATTTCCCCAACGGCCTCCTTGCTTGCGTTTATTATTGTTTGTGAAGTTTTATTCGCTCAATAGGTTTGACTTTTTTACCTTTGTGCTGAAGATTGTCTAGCGTTTCTCATTTGCCAATAAATATTTGCAATCAATGAATCATATTTTTATATCAGGTTGCTCATTTGAATAGCGTCTGACGCAATTTTTATAGTAGTAGAGGGTTTTGGAGTGGGCTGAGAGGGTTGAGCTGGAGGCCGGCAGAGTGGAGGGTAGAGGATGAGGGAGTGGAGGGTAAAGGCTGGGAGAGTTGAGGGTACGTGGAGTGTTGAGGCTGGGAGAGTGGAGGGTGTGAGGCTGGGAGAGTGGAGGGTATGTGGAGGGTGTGAGGGTGGGAGAGTGGAGGGTACGTGGAGGGTTGAGGCTGGGAAAGAGGAGAGTGTGAGGCTGGGAAAGAGGAGAGTGTGAGGCTGGGAAAGAGGAGAGTGTGAGGCTGGGAAAGAGGAGAGTGTGAGGCTGGGAGAGTTGAGGGTACGTGGAGGGTGTGAGGCTGGGAGAGTGGAGGGTACGTGAAGGGTTTAGGCTGGGAAAGTGGAGGGTGTGAGGCTGGGAGAGTGGAGGGTACTTGGAGGGCTGAGGCTGGGAAGGTGGAGGGTGTAAGGCTGGGAGAGTTGAGGGTTCGTGGAGGGTAGAGTATGGGAGAGTGGAGGGTAGAGGCCGGGAGAGTGGAGTTAGATGCCTGTTTTTGATAACCATTAACTGTATTCTAATGAAACTGCATTTTTCAGAGATCGTTAAAACCTGATCAAATAATGAAATTTCTGTGTTGGGTTGCAAGTAAAGGAACAGATAAACAAATTTTTTGTTAATATATAATTTTCGAATTCTGTGTGTTGGTGGTTTTATTGTTTGAGAATAAGAATTGCGCTTATGTAAATGATTGTTAAAACCGTCGAATTAATCTTGAAAACTTTTTTTCATTACCACAGGTGTTCATAAATGCTTTTTATTTATAAATTAATTATGAACTGGTCGTTTGGTTCTAGACGATCAAATTAGGCTAGTTATACCCAACAACTCACGCATTTTGCAGCTCATAGAACTGACAATATTTTGTGCGACATTATCATTTTTATAGTTGGAAATCTTGTGTGCTAGACTAATGAGCGTAAACCACGAAAAAGAATTAATCTACAGAAATCCTGTTTTGTGTTAGTGAAATCTGTGACACATTTGACGGTCGAGACGTGGGCCACTCTGTGACTTCATGACATCCCCACGTCATGAAATTAACTGCAGAAACTGCATCTAGTTCTTGGGAGAACATGATAGAGTTTTAAAAAGAAAGATGAGCAACTGAAATTACGTTTGGTTTTTGAATATTTGAGTGATATTTTTTGTGAATTTCTCGAGCCGCGATGCCATCCAAACATCACCTCAGGAAGCCCATCCACGCGCAGTACATCAGGCGGCACTCCTCTCAGCCCGGTGAGTATTTCAATTTTATTGTTATCCACGCGCAGTACATCAGGCGGCACTCCTCGCAACCCGGTGAGTATTTCAATTTTATTGTTCTTATTTAAAAAGATTCTCAATCCCGTTACTCGTGTCTTCAGTGTATTAATTTAATTTGATAATTCATTTTTAGCTTTATTGTTGATTAAATATTATTGCAACATTTAATGCTATTATAAATGGTTTATTGAAAAATTTTGCGCTATAAAACTCAAATTGAAAAAACTTGCGAGTATTAAGTTTTGTTGTCTCTTTCCTTGCACATGTAAATACTTATAATACAGCGCTGGAACGTGTAGAATTTCATCTCTCTTCTCTGGTTCTAAGCCTCATTCGTTGTTTTCTGTAAGATTTTGTCTGGCTTCTCTCGCGTCTCGAGCGCTCAAGTTAATTGGCGTGAGAAGTTTAGCCCGGCAGCTCTTAGCGAGGGTGAATTTTAAGACGGACGTCGCTTGAGTTACCTCAACTTAAGGCTCATGCCTACCACGAGTTTGCTTCATCCTCTCTAACAAAGTTTTGCGAGAACTTTTGGTACTTTCATTCAAATGAATGAACTACAACCGCTAACTTTTTAACTTTTGCGAATGAAATAATTCGCGTCCATGAGCTTCTTCTGAACGTTTCTGCGTGTTCTGTAAGATGCGGTCTACTACAAGTAGATTCATTACGAAGAAATTGTGGTCCTTCTTTATCTTTGAAGGAAGACAGCTTTTCTTATTAGTATTTTATTTGTTCAATGTCGTTTATTATAAAGGTAAATACATTATAATAAAATTGTATCTGCTCAAGCCTATTTATCTTGTTTTTATATTCCTACCGAATATTTTTTTTCTTATTAAATCTTTCCCATAAAATTGTCCAATTATCTAACAGTTTGTGATTACGGCATTGGTTTTCCCGTGCTTCGAGACAGCATGGATGCGTTTCCTGCAGCTTATTGTTTCTACGGGAAACTTTAATATTCCTACCGAATATTTATTTCCTTATTAAGTTATTTACACAAAAATTGTTCAATTTTCTTAGCAGTTTGTAATTAGCGTATTGGTTTTCACGTGTTTCGAGACCGCAGGGACGCGTTTCCTGCCGTTGATTGTTCCTACGGGAAACTTCGCTCGCAGCGAATGCCAACCTTCACCTAGGTTGCCTCCTTCCTCTATAGTGCCGGATCGAACTTCATGGGTTGGTGGCTGAAGTTTCGCAATAATACTACGCAGTAGTAGTATGCTAATACAATATTGCAGGGACAGACCGCGTAGACGGTCTGTCCCGTGGAGCGCAGGACAGACCGTCTCGTGGGTAGTCTTAATATAATATTTTAATAGTTTTATTATTTTCATTGGTACACAATGGAAGACTTGTAAAAAAATTGGTTCACAATTTGGAGGATTTGTTGAAAAAAATTAGTACACATTAAAAATTGTTTTGTCTGTCTGGGAGGAGGAGAAAATTAATATTCTAAGGAATATTAATTAATTTCCGACTTGTGACTGAATGAACTGAAAAAAAAACTTTAATATTTAAAAACTAATATTTTCCTCGTGGGGAAATTAAATTTTGCTATCTTGGAGTAAAAATATTGTTAGAAATAAGATGCTATTCATGCCTGTCGTTACTGGGAGTGAATTTGAATTAGGCCTGTCATCATTAAAAATAAAAGTATTTTTTTTAGAAATTTCAGGTTATTCTAATACTACTAGCAGAGAGTGATGATGCCCAAGTTTCAAGTTGAAATAAAATACGATTGTTTTATTTTTTATAAAAACACAATTAATTTAAGGACTGAAAATACTTATGTTAACTAACGAGTGTTGAACACAAGTTATCAGGTGTTGATTGCAGTGCGGTTACGTTGCTTACTGCTGTGTTTGACGTTTGTTTACGTTTGCACCAGCTGTGTGTGACTGCCATGATCAATTGGCTGCTCTACGTGGCGACCACATGTCTAAACTGTTTGACTTCACCCCCAATGCGCCTCTCTTTGTAGCCTGCCCTCGCAAATAACTCTGAAATGTTGAGCAGCTTTTGAGGTCGTTGTTGCACACTTACTATGCCTTCGTTGTAGGAAATTATAATAAACTTATGGTGTTGAATAATGAGTATGTAAGCGACCTGCGTTTGTTGTTGTTAGGCGTTTTTGATGTTGGAGAAACTTCAACGATCGTGGGAGTGCAGGAATGCAATTTTAGTTGAAGCTTCAGATGATTTAGTTATAAATAGATAGTCATATATTTCTTTTCATTTATGTCGCTCGTTCACTTGGACCAAAAATAAAGATGGATATGTCACGGCTAAACTTTATTGAAAATACTCAGGGCAGTTATCGAAATGGTTTTAGCAATATTCTGCCGTCGAATTTCGTTTTTAGGTGTTATCGTTTCGGCAAGTTTTTGAAAATTTTCTTGAATATATCATACGAAATTCTGATCGTTTTGTTGCAATACAGTACATCCCCTTGGACTTCGTATTCACAATCTTAGGGAGAGAACATCATCAAAGACGCTACATGTTTATCACATGATCTGGTTGGCGTAGGGATGTGAGGCAGTTACGTTAAATTTTATAGTTATTTCATCTCATATTCCGTCATTGATATTTGTTAGAGATTATTCTGTGCAATCTTGATCATGAATACCTATGTTTTGTTGAAATGCTTTGAGGATTGACTTTCTTAATGAATTTTTTTCTCGTTACGCATAGGCTTAAAGTGTAGATTGAACTTTGCGATCCAAAAAGATCCCTCATGCTTCCCGCGATTAATGAATTAAATTAATTCCCTATTAATTTGGGTCTCAATAACTTTCTAATTGATTTGCAATCAACCAACCTTGTAATCTATTTATTTCGTTAATAATCACTAGGTTACTTCAGTTATTCATATTGTCGCCTTCGCAGGCGGCCCAGCTACGGCGCTACCTACCGCCACCAACGTCAATGAGTGCCGAATTTACGTCTCAATTAATTTTATGGATTTTATTATGTTATAAATACTCCAGAGAGCTTTCATTATCAAATTGTTAAAAGATTGACACTATTCAAAAACTGTAAAACTCGTAATAAGTCTGTTCATTTGTAATTTTTCACCGTGTACCCTCGCAGGTGCGAAAAATTTTCTACCGGCGCAGCCTATATTTTCTTTGAAAACTTTTAAGGCATAACTTTGTGATAACTCACAGTGTGAATTAACGAATTCCTTATTTTTTTAGCGGGTATCAAGTTTTATCTATTATACTGTATATATAACTTTCATATGTTCGCTTTCTAGCACAATAATTTATAAAACAGATTACCGAGTTTTGTAAAACAGAAAATTTGAAAATTTTCTAATTAACTCTTGATTAAAGAAGAAGGATCGTCTCGTAAAATTTATTGTTTCAATTTACGTGCTATCATCCAATCAGACGCCTACGTGCTATCAAACCAATCAAAGTCATTCTTCTCGCTTCCAGTCACCGACATCTGGCGAATCGACTTTTTGATGATATTGTTGACGATCAGAGTATCAACACGTTCAAGAATAAGCTAGACAATGCTTTGCAAAAGTATATGTTCAGTCTTGAAATGCCTAACACCCTACGAAACTGGTAAAAGTACAATGATGAGGTAAACAAACTTCAGTTGAAACGATCTTGTCAAAAGGCCAGTTTTTAGCCCTGTGAACAAGTCAGGAAAAGTACAAGAATCTGCTACAGGCCTAAACAGGCTCATTTCTTCAAATCCGAAGATGCTATGCTGTGCTAAATGATCTACTACAATGTTTGATGCAAGTTCCGTGGATTAATTTATTTTTAAGTTAACAATATTGATTTTCTAACTTGTTTTTCTATCATGATGGTCTGTATTTTCGCGACCAAAGTTCTTGCATAACGAACAATCGAGATCCTAGTGGGCTTATTAATTAATGTAAATCTTTTATGTTCATATAAAAATTATGCGTAAGTCGAATATTTATGGCTTTGAACGTGAATCATATGAAGTTGTTTTACGTTATAGTTTGATTTACCAGAGATTTAAATTGATTGCCAGAGATTTAGAGATTTAAAAATTAATTTTACTCGTACTCCAAAACGTTCACTGTCAATCGTTTAGCCCTGAAATTTAAGTGTTTGGCATGGATTAGTACGATTAAAATGTATAGGTACATAAATTAAATATGCATGAAAAATGAACTCGAGCTTTGAAAATCTAGAAAAATAGCCCTGAATTAAATAGTTGTCAAGATGATCGTAGCAAGATTTTTTAATGTGACGCGGAGAAACTTATTGATCCGGCAATAATTTTCTCTTGTGGTGAGTACAATTTGAGTTTCTAATTGATATGATGGAAAATCATGAAGTTTTTAAATTTTATTCTTCCCTGACGCTCAAAAATGTTTTTTTAAATAATTTTTTCCAAGTTATAAATTTCTATTTATATAAATCCATGAAATGATAGGTTATGCAGCTTCTTAGTGTCACCCAACTGAAAAATGTTCCCGCTGTTATATCCTGTTCCGGTCTATTCATAGCATTTCGAATAAGATTGATCCGTGCAGTTAAGAATGCAGTAAAGGTTCTTCACCTGTCAATTTGGTCTTAGTTTGATCACTTGGAAAGTCTGGAAGTTGATATTGCTTATCTACTGCACACACCTCAGGACGCCACGAAAATTCAGCGAACTAAGTGATACCAATGTTATGGTTGCAAGTTACGTAGCTTTTCTCAATTTCCAGTCGTTTCTGCAAGCTATATATGTAAGTCATAAATTTTTCGTTATTGGCTTATCGGAACAGATGGTTCCTGGTGAAATTGCTTTATAAGGAAACTCGTGATACAAGAGGTTTTAATTGCCTCTTTAATTGTGCTTTAGAATCAGCTTCTATGGCCCGTATATCATTAATGCAGTTTTGTGGGAAAAATTTCCCACCGTTGATCATTTTTTGTCCATTGTTAATTTGTTCTGGTTCGCTGTTGTTGTTTCACTTGTTGGGTCTCATT